TTCATTTGAAGTGTGCAAAGTGGTGAAATGGACCTATAATGAAAATGACCTGTAATCTTACTTTCCCAAAATACCCCTGCCTTGCAAGCTTCATAACTTGAGCTCTACAAATCAGATGAAAGACTTCTAGGAATTTTTAGAAATCTAAGACCATGAGGAACAACTTTCATATTCACTTGAAGTTGAGAAGAAACATCCTTCTAGGTCAAAAATGTCTTGGAAGTTGGTTGACTTTTGTTGACTGAAATCACATTCATCTGAGGACCTGTAACTTGTCAGCTTCATAACTAGAGTTCTATAAATATAATGGAGGGCTTCTAGTACTCAAAAGAAAGCTAATAACATTCCCTATAAGTTTCATGTCCACATCAAATTTATATTACACTTGTATCTTGAGATAGGTGGTCTTGAAGTTAGGCACTAAATAAGGGATTTTACACTGAGAAAGCTTAGAAACCCTAGCTCAGTAACTTCTCACACTCTTGATTCTTGATGAATTCATCTTGAAATGACATCTCATGTGTTCCAACACAATATTCCATGATCACAAAGACTTGGAATTGAGTCTTAATCTCCTTCAATTTCATAGTTGACTTAGGGTTGACCAGATGAAAATCCTAATTGCACCAACTTCAACTGTGGCCACTTGCACTTGGTATAAACGCCTGAATGAACTCCACAATGGTCCTCAAGGCCTCCAATGAGCTTAAATGACAATCTCCCTCCATAACCATGGACTTGTGGTCCTCAGATGACCCTCAAATGGCCTCCTAGACAGGAGGTGAACCACATACACTTATCTGCCTATCCAAAGGGCTTTGACTTGTCTCTGATGATGATAACCCCTTGATGACTTGAACATAACCTCTTGATTAGGCTTAGAACCCTTGGAAAAATCCTCTTGCTATACACACATCTTTTGATCCCCTGTAAATGAAAAATGATATGCAATGCAATATGCTAGAACAATGAAAGGAAACATAAACCAAGTAAAGAACAGGTTGGACAAATTTTGGGGTACAACACCTTGCCCTAGCGCAATTGAGACCAGCCGTAGTTCTAGTTCCCGTAGGTTCGCATACCTTTAAACCAATGACATACTATGTCCGTTCTACCGCAAACAGGTAACGCTTAAGTCTCCAATGGTCGAGCAACATACACCTAACTGCTAGAATGCGTACGCTAGTATCGTCAATCTTTTCTCTCACCCTCGTGTGATCGAGAACACCTTTTTGTCCCGTAGTTAGCCTGAACTATGTTTTACTCTGATTTCTCATGTCAGATGAAAATACGTAGGCACAAGACGCGACGTCTTGGCGAGCAACCTCCCCCGTAGTTTCCCGAACTACGTTGACTCTGATTTTCTCATACCATATGGGAATACGTAGGCATGGAGCGACGATGCTCTATTGAGTCAGTTATTTCCGTTAGATTTAGCAGCCGTAGATAGCTTGTTTTTCACCCATAGACTAGACAACCAAGCGTGGATCCCGTCGAGTACGACAGATGTGAGGGGTGCTCATACCTTCCCCTTGCGTAACCGACCCCTGAACCCGAGATTTGGTTGCGATGACCGATCTTATCCCTTTTTCGCAGGTTTTTTCTGATTGTTTCCTTTCCCTCTTTTTGGGATAAATAATGAACGGTGGCGACTCTTCTGTCATTGCCGGCACCCCTTTTTCGTAGTAGCGACAACCTTCACCCGTAGTTTTCCGAACTACGTTGACTCTAACTTTCCCATTGCACGAGGGAGTACGTAGGCATAGAGCGGAGATGCTCTATCGAGTCTCTTTTCTTTTCTTTTGTCCTGTGAGCCTGTAGCTTAGATAGTAAACACACTCTTAGATAGACAACAAGCGTGGATCTCGTCGAGTACGACGAACGTGAGGGGTGCTAATATCTTCCCCTTGCGTAACCGACTCCCGAACCCGAGATTTGGTTACGATGACCAATCTTATCCCGTTTTGTAGGTTTTCTTCGCTCGTTTCCTTTCCCTCTCTTTGGGATAAATAACGAACAGTGTCGACTCTTCTGTTTTCCGCCGGCCCCTTTTTTCGCAGTTGCGACAGCTATGTGTTATTACCATTAGCTCATTTTATTTTTGTCCCTCTTCCTTTTTGATTTTGTCAAAGGGGGGGGAGGATTATCGTTTGAAAACAATAATTTGTATGGTTAAGTAATTATCGCATGGGGAGCACGACTCTGCTTCAGTCAAATTAATCGTGTTGCCAAGCATCAAAAAGAGGGAGGCTGAAATTGATGATCCGGCTATTAGTTATTTCTCTATTTTGATGCTTTTCTTATGTTATAGTTTAATTTGATTTCCCTTAGTTATTAATCATCAAATGCATGCTAGAGTATTTTACCCATACGTTTATTAAGTTGACTTTGTGTCTTAGCTGTGTAAATTGATTCAATGGCCTTCCCTAAATTAATTCAAAGTTTTTGTTCCCTGACTCGATTCAAGGCCTTCATGAATTGATTCATGAAAGTGCCTCAAAAGTTCATTTTGATTATGTTTTTGTGAATCAAGTCAGAAGCAGTTTTGAAATGAGTCACAGATCTGGAAATTCCAAATTGAATTGATTCAGTAAGGGTCACGACTTGTGTCAGAATGCTAATTTGAATTGATTCAATTTTGGTGTTGACTCAAGTGAACTGTCCTAACTGAATTGAGTCATGGGAATTTATGAATCAAGTCACGCAGTTCATTTTAACTCATTAATTGTGCATTTTCTCTTGCACCTATAAATAGGGATTTCATTTTCTCATTTCTAAAGAGATCAAAATATTTTCTGTGAGAAAACCTTTGCAAACACAACTTCCTTCTCTCTTCCAAATCTTCATCTTAATCATACCCATGGAAATTATTCTATTATGTGTGTGTGATGATTAATTGTAGGGAAACATTAGAGATCTAATTATTTATTAAAGTTTGCAGATTTTGCAAAAGGTATTTTGGTCTTGAAAATTTCAAGGGTTGAAATTTCTTGAAGGAAAAAGAAGAAGAAGCTTTTCTCCATTGTTGTGGAGTTTTTCTGTAGATTTGTCAACTTGTTGAAGAGAAATATTCAAGGCTTGGAATTTCAAGATTGGATGAAAATTAGGAAATTCATCAAGATAGAAATTCATCAAAAGTTGAAAATCAAGATCTTAGATAAAGATCAAGTTAGCGGTGGTAGCTAGTTACAAGCAAATTCGTACAAGAAGCAAGGAAGAAGATAACTTGGATTGTTATAGTTTATCTTTTGCTTTTGTGAATTGTTGTAACAAGAACCAAAATTCTATATTGTTTTAATGGAAGAAATAACTCTTCAATGCTTCTCTGTCGAAGACTAGATGTAGATGCCTGTGAGGACAATAGCACCGAACTAGTATATATCCTGGTGCAATCTCTCCTTCTCTCCCTCTCTCTTTATCGTTTAACATTGCATGCTTGGGTATCTGTTTAGATTCATTGTATTCATAGTTTTGATTTGTAAAATTTTAGGTTTGATTAGATTTTTTCTTCTAAAGGATCCAATTAATTGATTATTATAAGAACATTGAATTTAGAATTACCTTTAAAATTGAAGAATTGTTAAAGTCTTTAAGCATCTCGTTGAAACTTTAACCATTAATCAATTCATTGTATTCTACCTCATTACAAACCTTTGGTGTTAGTATAGCACAAATTCTCTTCCAATATCCTAAAAACTTTTCAAAACGAAATTTCACCATATCTGGCTCCGCTTGCGTAATCTGATTTTTTTGAAACAAATAGATTTTTTTAATTGTCTATTCAAACACCTCAACCCCCCCCCCCCCCCCCTCTAGACAAGTTACTCCATATTCAAACCAACAAAAGATCTTTGGGAGATCAATATAAGTCTTTTTTTGTTTCGTGGAGAATAACCACTGAAAAGTCTTTACACTACTTCTTGAATAAAACATCTCATTTTGGGTTCGTAAAGAATAAGCACTGAAAAGTCTTTACATTGGTTCTTGAGCTCATCCTAGTACAAAAGCTCAGTCAGTTTGAGATTATCCTAGTATAAAATCTCACTTTATTTTTTAATTCAGCCTATATAAAAGCTCAGTAGGTTCAGATTATCCTAGTAAAAATAAGATAGAAAACTAAAAACAGTTATTCAATATAAAACTTCTATTAAGTTAATAAGATAGAAAACTAAAAACTCCAGCTTAGTTTGAGATCAACCTGTGAAAAATCTTAGTTTGGCTTAGAGACTAACCTTTTGAAGCTTTGTTTGTTGTTTGGCGTGAAGACTAATTAATTCATTCCTCAATTTGATGTTTGGTTAGAAGTTAACCAAAAGATTCACTTTCCTTGTATAATAGGGTTTGTGGGCTTAGCCTTCTAAACACTCTCAAGCATTATTAGATACTCTCAAAATTAGATACTCTCAAGATCAATTATTGGAGAGAGAAATAAGTCACTTCATTAAGAAGGAACCTCTATAAATCTCTAGTGTTATATTTATACCCTTAACTCTTCTATTTTATTTTTTGCATATTCTACTTTTATTAAAAATAATTTAAACTCTAGGATAGTTTTGTTTCAAACTATAACTTTTCAAACCTCCACAATTCAACCTTCAACCTGATGATTTATTTGCAATGGACTACCATAAACTAAGAATCAAATGTCCTAGTATCTCGTCCCTCTCCCAAGGTGACCATCAACTCAATGTATCTCCAAGATGGATTACTGTGTCATTGGAGGTTTGCAGGTCGAATCCTTCGTAGGGCCACAACTTCTCCTTTTTCAATCCCATTTTCTCAAAAAGACAAAGACACGAATACATGATATCACAAGAACTTCCACCATCAATAAGCATAAAATAATTATAAACCAAGTAAATAATAATAATAATAATAATAAATAAACCATTGAATGCAAATGCAACATACAGCTCGGTAGTTTTTCAACTCAGAATAAACAAAAATGACCATATCCCATGATGTTCATATCTACAAAGCTCTACATATAGACACATTTGTCAAAATGAAGCCGAAGATACACGACGAAGCTGACATTTTGGCTCGGGCTCCGGAGCATTCGCTATCATGTTCGAAAGTTCCTGCAAATTCAGCAACAGAAACAGTTAATAAAGAACAAGTAAGCATGCAGACATCAAAAATCAGTAACAATGGATCAAAACTTTTACTTTTAAGCAGAATCTAACCTTTTCTTTCCTCAGCTTTTCATTTTCCTCTTCGAGGCGCGAGACTTTGATCTCCAATTCAGTTGTGTAGGCCTAGTGATGAATGATTCAGAACAAATATTTTTACTTAACAGAAATGCTTAATCAAATGCATGAAATAAATACGAAAAAGTCACCTGTTTCCTTGCTCTTGAACGGGCAGCGGATTCTCGATTCTTGATCATCCTCTTCTGTTTCCTCTCGACCGTCCTCTCAGATACATCCTCTGGTAAGCCCCGTTTCCTACCTGACTTCTTTGAATCTGATATGTTTCCCATCGCAGGTGAAGCCAATGCCATCTGACCGTCTGCATATGGAACAACGTCCAATGGAGAACTGGACACCATGTGCAACGGCTGTGGTAAGATCTGGCTTGGAACATAAGTTGGTATCACATTTTGTTGCGGATGCTGATAATGTGCCTGTGCATACTGCTGCACCCACTGACCATGCGGAACAAACTGCGGTAACACGAGGGTTGAATCAACATTATCAACTTTAGGGCCGTTAGTATTCTTTCCATTAGAAGATGCAATCGAAACAACGCCTGCTTTCACCAAAAAATCCTCTAACGTCATCTCTCCCAAAGTAGATTGTCTCTCTTGAGACCTCACCTCCTCGTGATCTTTGCTTTGTTGGATATCTCTCCAAACCTCGTCAACCGTTTTCTTGCTTAACACACCGGTTAAGGACATATTAGGTTGCTGTTGTAAAACAACTTGTCCGGTTTGAGCTGTGTTCACGTTGTCCATTTGAACGGACTGGTTTGCCTCGACAGTCCATACGTTTTTCAGAAGCTCATCTAAGTTCATACTACTTAGCGGCTTTCCCAAGTCACCTAATTGACTCTGAACTTCATCGAGGGTAAGATTGTACATTGAATTTTGCCGCGCCAAAGGCTGGAATTGCGAATGGTTTTCACTATTATTGTCACCGATAACTTGAGACCCCATAGTTTTGATGTTAAGCAAGCAATTACTATAGAACTCACTCCATATTTCAAAACCTTTCACCACCAAAAGACTTTAATCAACATATCCAAATCTTCGATAATATAAACCTTAATCAGAACCTGACAGAAACAAAATGTGAAATTAGCATTTTTGTGGTTTTTCAACAAATTCATAATATTCTAAGCAATCTAGCAGCTAGCAAATAATAAAATGAACTGTCAAATCGAATCTTCTATGCCTCATTACTTCTCCCTCTCGATCACAACCTGACAACTAATAAATAAAGCAAAGAAAAATCGAGACCTATTTGGATAAACAACTTACTTTAGCACTTGTCGCATAAGTGTTTATCATAGAAGTATATGTATAAAGTTATTTCTATAAGAAAAGATAAAATATAATCAAATTGTTTCTATATAAACTAAAAGTTGTTCTCATAAACTATCTTGAAAAACTTAAAGAAATAAGCTGAAAACAACTTATGAACATGCCATAAGTTATTTTCATAAGCTCTCTGAAACAATATCGCAAGTGTTTATGTCTGCAAATAAACTATCTTGAAAAACAATGTCTATATTTGATCCATGTGCCACTTCCACCTAATGAGAAAGAGGATTTTGAGACGGAGAAATTGGATCCACATGCATTCATAGACATAGCATTAATGTACATTATCATAACAAGGGATTGAGCTCAGTTGAGGTTAAATCGATCTCGAGTACCAGAGTACCAGATTTGAACAATGAATGGACAATCTTCGACTAGACTTTACCTCTAACCGAACTCCTGATTTAGGGTTATCTAGAGTTAAGACAAAAAAAAATACCACTTTTAAAAAAATACGAACAAAGACAGGACAGTGAAACCTAAGAAACATGTCGCATTAAAAATTCGTCAAAACCATTATCATTCTTAGAGACAACATTAGAAAACATTAAAAACAAAACAAACAAATCCTTCAATTTCTCTGATCCTTTGCATGCAGGCTCAATGAAACACACCAACATTCAACATAATTATAATCAAAATCCTAAACCCCACATTTCAAAAACCACAAAAAAGACCCTTTGAATACTCAACAACAAAACCCATTTCCGCATAAAAAAGTTGACAAGAGATAACAATTTTCAATGAAAAAAGAAACATGACCCATTTGACATTTGCATGCAACCAATTCAGTGACACTGTTAAAACACAAGAAAACATAGTAACAATAAAAGGGTGACTGAGATCAAACCAAATGAATCCAACCCAACACAAAATCAGCATTTGTTTTACAAATGTAGTTTGTCAAAGTTCAATTTTTGATAACCATGTGTAATACCCAAAAGAGTAAACGAGTTTGTTTTAAGACAATAAGTATAAAAAGACGATAATTTTAATAGAAAAAAAGAACGAGAACAAAAAAATAATATGAACAAAAATTGAAATGTACCTTATGAGAATGAGACACCGATCTGAGAGCGAATGAATGAAAAAGCAATGTGATTATGGAACAAGATCAACAAGAGTGTTCCAAAAGTTGATAGACAAACAACCTCCGCAACTCTGTCTGATGTTCGTGCATGTAAAATGTATTGCGAGTGATGAGAGATTTGAGAGTATATATATTTGTGAATATATAAAGAGAGAAACATTATATGCTCACTTGTTTATTTCTATTTATTTTTTTATAAATTAAAAGAATTTTATTATTATTGAAAGGTGGGCGATTTTTTTTAATAAAAAAAATATAATTAAATAAATAAGATAGTAGGAAAACAAGAGAGAGGAGAGACATAAAACAAGACAAGAGACTTAGGCGGTTGCGAACCAAAAAACTAAAAACAGATATCGAAATTTCATTCCGCCAAACAAAACCATGAATGGAAATGTCTGATGAAAGCTAGGGTGTCTGCACTTTGGTTTCCTTCACTAGATATGAGCTAAATAAAAATACATAGAGTTGATTTTAATAGATAAAATTTTTAGATTATCTGAGTATCTAGTTGGCACACTAATGAACTCTCTTATCTTTTTATTTTTTTAATAAATAAAGTAATATTATCCACAAGGTGCTAGGGTATTAGGATACCCTAATACATTTACAAAATTTACCACATATTTTCTTGGTAGATAGAAGAGGTTTAGTTTTTTTTCTCCAAAGTTTTTCAAAGAACAATCCGTGTAAAAGTCCATCTCTGATCTTCCTCCTTTCAAAGTTAGTTCTTTACATTCAGTTCTATCTTCCTCTTTCTCTGATCAAGATATTGGTTCCGAATGTGCATCCATCTTGAGTCTCCCTCAAAGACGGTTATGGTTATGGTTATTCTGGCGAAAGTTCAAACTCTCAGTGCATCCCATCTTGAGTCTCCCTGAAAGACAGTTATTCTGGCGAAAGTTCAAACTCTCAGCTGGAGTTTGGCGGTCGATAGATTGCCAACTAGATCTAATTTATTGAATTTCCAACTAGATCTAATTTATTCTCTGATCAAAATATTGGTTTCGAATGTGCATCCCATCTTGAGTCTCCCTGAAAGACGGTTATTCTGGGGAAAGTTCAAACTCTCAACTGGAGTTTGGCGGTCGATAGATTGCCAACTAGATCTAATTTATTGAAAAGAAAGATCTAATTTATTGAAAATAATTGATTCCGAGCAAGACTTGGATGGTGTGTTTTGTTCTAGTAGCCTCGAGGACGTATCTCACCAAGATCTACACAGGTTTGAAAAAGATTTGTGAATGGGCGGATATAAAGATAATTTCTGAAAATTGTTGCTAACTCGAGCCTTAGTGACCGATGTCAAGCGAATAGAGTAAATTCGATTTGGTTTATTGTATTTGGAGGTCTAGAAATGAATTTATTTTCAATAACTTTCGACATTAAATTATCTTCTTGGAATTGATTGATCTTAGCTATCTTAGCTAGGAAGGGAAGCAAGCGTGTTGTTTGTATGATTGGTTCAAATTTTCTTTTTGTAATTTATCTTTTGGTTTGATTTATCTTTTGGTTTGAGATTTCCTTAATCTCTTATTAATATATCCTGCTTATAAAAAAAAAGTTAGGTTTCCAATAAAATCAGAAGGTTATACAAATGAAATCTAACTCTATTTAATTGTTTTTAATAAATAATTTTTTTTTTAATGAATTTCAGTCAAAATACTGTCTATTAGTATTTTATACAGTTTTAATTTCAACCAATGAATAAATCTTAATTTATCACAAGATAATAATAATCTTTCTCCGTTTAATATATTTTATTAACATTTTTAGTCTAATCAAATTAAATGGTTAATAATAAATAAATTTCAATCTATCTAATCAATTTTAATAATTAAGGTTTTTTATTGAGATATTTAATTGACACGTTTAATATATTTTATTAACATTTTTAGTCTAATCAAATTAGATGGTTAATAATAAATAAATTTTAATCTATCTAATCAATTTTAATAATTAAGGTTTTTTATTGAGATATTTAATTGACAATCACATGAAATATATTTTAATTTTATAAAAAACTTAAGAAATGAAAAACAGCTCCAGCAGAAGCATAATTAAGATAATTAGATATGACTAGCAACTACAAATAAATTTCAGATGAATCTAGAAGTTTTTATTGAGAAATTTAATTGGTAATCAAATAAAATAAATTCAAATTAATTTAATATTATAAAAATATTATCAAATAGAATTTTCAATCTATTTAATTTTTTTTAATAAATGAACATCTAACTGGCATAGCAATATGAACTCCCTTATTTGTTCAAATGAATTCCATCCATTATTTTGAATATGTTTTTCATACCGTTTTAATATTAGGCAAGAACAAATTTTAATTTATTTCATAATTCTTAATTGGAAAATTCAGTTGGCAATCATATAAAATAAATTTTAATTTATTTAATATTATAAAAATATTATTTACGTGAATATTATAAAAATATTATTTACGTGAAAATTTCACAACCATGTCATTTGACAATCACATAATTTATTAAATAACAAGCTTCTAATAGGATTACATGGTTATCCACTAATAAACACTAATATTTTTTTCAAATAGATTTCACTCAGAATAATGTCTATCACTATTTCATGCAGTATTAATTTTAACCAATGAATAAATTTTAATTTATCTCACAGGATGATAATCTTTCTCTGTTTAATATATTTTATTAACATTTTTCGTCTAATCAGATTAAACGGTTAATAATAAATAAATTTCAATTGATTTAATCAATTTTAATAATTAAGATTTTTTATTGAGATATTTAATTAACAATCACATAAAATAAAATTTAATTTTATAAATAATTTACAAAATGAAGAACATCTAAATATCACTCTTTGCACGAGCATAATTAAGATAATTAAATATGACTAGCAACTACTAATAAATTTCAAATGATTCTTAATAATAAATATTTTTATTCAGATAAATTCAAATTTATTTAATATTATAAAAGTATTATTAAATAGAATTTTCAATCTATTTAAATTTTTTTAATAACCGAACATCTAACTGGCATACCAATGAACTCCCTTATTTTTTCAAATGAATTCCATCCATTATTTTGAATATATTTTTCATACCGTTTTAATAATAGGCAAAAATAAATTTTAATTTATTTTATTATTCTTAATTATTAATTTGGAAATTCAGTTGGCAATCATATAAAATAAATTTTAATTTATTTAATATTATAAAAATATTATTTACGTAAATCTTATAAAAATATTATTTACGTGAAAATTTCACAACCATGTCATTTGACAATCACATACTTTATTAAATAAAGTGTTTCTAATAGGATTACATGGGTACCCACTAATAGACACTAATATTTTTTTGAAATAGATTTCAGTCAGAATACGGTCTATTAGTAATTCATGCCGTTTTAATTTTAGCCAACGAATAAATTTTAATTTATCTCATAAGATAATAATCTTTCTCGCTTTAATATATTTTATTAACATTTTTAGTCTAATCAGATTAAACGGTTAATAATAAACAAAT